ATTAAGAGCGATATCGACATATTGATCGCAACGATATTGTTCTCGACGAACAGAACGAAAGAAAATATTCTGCGACGAATTGATCGGTCACCGTCTATGAAATTTAATAAGTAATATTTATTTCATGAAATACTATAATTTCAGATAAACATATCAAAAGGAAATTACATTGAAAATGAGTTTCAAATTCTTCTTCAATTTATGTCTTATTTTATTATGCATATGTGGATTTCCGATTGAATCATCTATTGATACTAATGATGGCCATGAATTGCACACGGTGAATATTCTTGATAATGAAACAAATCATTGTCAAAGTCACATGGACTTACAACAAATACAAACTATGTTAAAACTACATCCCTGTGCACTCATTCAAAAATCAAATGGTAACCGACGAATGAAACGTCAAGTTGATGCTGGCAGTGTCGATGTACATGCATTACAAACAACAATCAATGATCACCGTACCATGATTAATTATTTAATTAATAATTCTATCAATGCAACGTTCGTTTCAGATGCGATCAGTACCCATTATTCTGGTAGTGGTCCTATATTAACAAGTTGGCGTGATCTAATTGATTTGATTTGTATTATTCTATTCATTGGATTTATTGTTTATTTTTTGCTATCTCGTGCTGGATTCAATCCATGCAATACTTGCTGTTCATTTTTTTGGAAATGCTTATTTCCAAATATGCATGAGCAAAAAAATCAACAGCAACAATTTCAACAACAAGTACAAGAACAACAAGTAGTATTACAGCAACTACAAACACAACTACAACAGCAAGAACAAGGACCACCACAACAAGAAATAATAAAGAGTCATTCCATTCGTCGTAAGAAACAACATTTTCCAACAGTTCCACCAATTTCAGGTGACATTTTCCGGTTTGAAAATGGATACATGTCCGATTGATTTGTGGCATATGAATACTTATTTAGAAAGACTTTTTAACAATACTAAAGCTTCTTGGATATTCCTTTTTTTTTCAATTTCATATTAATTCAATTTATCAATCATTTAAAAATTCTTTCATCTTTTTATGAATAATCTAGCACTATTTATGTTTTTTTTGTTGATTAATTGATCAACAAATTTGCATTTTTTATATTATTTTATACATTTTTTATATTATTTTATGCATTTCGCATATATTTGAAAATGTATTCTTTTTAGTTTTATTATCCTTCAAACTGTTGTAGATGCTTTTACGTTTAATACACTAGTCCAGTAGTTTTAATTTCTTTTCTTGTTCATTCTAGATACATACACGATTTTATAGGAAAATAAAATGGCTATGAATAATACAAATTCTTATCATACTCGTTCATTACATGAACAATATAACAATAAAATAAACAATTATTGCTCTAAACCACGACAAGACTTCAATATGTTAGGACTAAATCCATTTCAACCATTAAAATCATTTCGTATCGGTGAAATTAATCGTTTTGCAACTATGCAACATTTGTTATCATTTGTCGAACAAATTGATAAAACAAAAACATTTTCAATTGATACAGAAAGACACCCTCAACTAGGAATGGTTACTTTAATTAAAATTGAATTAATACAAGTCGAACAAAAGGAATCTATTGTATTATGTTTTGAACTATTACATTTACCTTTTGCTGGTACACCATTATTTTTAATAGTAGGATTATTACTAAACAAAATCTTTCATCCATCAAAAAGAATCTTCGTTTGGTCTAATGACAATAAAGAAGCTCTTCAGACATTTGTATTATACAAATATCTTGCGAAGTCAACATTGGGTGACACAAATATCATTATATTACAACTACCATTCAAACAATGGTACAACAAAACATTTAAACACCACGAAAAATGCCATGTAACATCAGTTATAAATCACGATGCTTATTGTTGTATTTGTCCATATCGTCCATATAAGAATCTCAATAATCAATGGGCTCTGGAAAAAGCAATAAATCATGTATTCCAAGAATTTATTCGTCAACCAAATGGAAATTATATAGATCATAGACAAAATTTTATTTACAGTGTCTATCGTTGTTTAGCAATTAGCAAATTATTGATGGTCGTAGAACTTGACTGGACCCTCGATCAATTACATCAATTCAAAAAATTTCACCAAGGTAAAATTTAAATTTGTAAATAAACTTGAATATTTCGTTAATTTACTTTAGAATGATTATGTACAGCATTAAATGAACAGTACATTACTATCAAATTATGATTCTCGATTTCTTGTATCATTAAATAAAATATATTTCTTTGCTCTTTTTCTCGTTTTCACGAATAACATGAAAACAAATAAACTTCTATTCGTTCTTATGCTTAGTTCTCTTCAAAATTTTAGATATTATCATATTTATCAGAATCAGCGTCTTACAACGATTAAAATGATGTGTTGGACAACAAATTTCGACCAAATAAACGAATTTTTGAAAAGTCAAGAAAATGAATATAATATTCGGCACTACGAGAGATCTTTTCAGCGGATCTAAATCCCTGACGAACCATCATGGTGTCGACTATGATACATATTCTTCATCAGCGTGTTACAGCGATCAATATTAAGTACTGCACAACAAATTTCGACCAGATAAACGAATTTTCAAAAATAAAAAAATTAAAATAATGTTCGGCACTACCAGAGATCTTTTCAGCGGTTCTAACTCCCCGCCGAAGCATCATGGTGTCGACTATGATACATANCTACACATCCCAACGAAATCTATCACGATGAGTGTATAAAATATGTAGAGAAGATTCTAAACAAATATAGAATCCAAACAGACGACTACCAAAATCGATTGGAAGAGAAAAAGCAACACTTACACAATCGTTGGACAAGTAGAATTGAAGAGACTATTATGAAATTTGTTCAGGAGTATGCGATTGCTCTATATCGAATACCTATTGAAAGAGAAATAATTTGTATTGAATATGAAATGGTTGATCGATTATGTGAACTTGAATTTTGCAGTAAAAATCCAAATCTATATCAAGTAAGCTTTGGAATAGTATAAAAACTTTCAATTTTCTACTTTTCCTCTCTTTAGAAACAACTATTCGAATCTCTTACAGAAAAGAAATTCATTATGGAGAAATCGAAACTTGAACTTGCCCTATTAAAACAACGTATCACTCTTAATTATCTACCAAAATCATTTGATAAACTTGAAATATCGAGACCTACGTCAATAGATACAATTATGGATACCCAGACAGCTCAATTACTAAAAAGTCGATGTGATAAAATTCTACAGCGAACCAAAGCTGATTTAATACAAGTTTATGTTGACACTGCTCAAATTCGAGCAGATCAATCTCGATTCCAGTTTAATGATGCAATGAATAAAGTAAAAGAAAATGTATTAACACATCCATCATATAGAATATTAACTAAAGATATGTTCGATATTATGATAAAACGTTTCAACAATATGAGTGAGCACCTTGTATCTGTCTACAAATTAAAACTTCATGCTTTCGCAAAACTTCGAATGGACAAGAAATGCAATTGAACTAACATCGAAGCTAATGTACATCTCCAAAAATTGACATCACAACATAACACTATTTCACTCTGTGAAAAAGAACTTTTTCCATGCATTCGATATTGTTTTGTATACTATGAATTGTATCGATTTTTTTTAAAGAAAACTGTTCTTTTATTATTCATTTTTTATATAATTTTCCATTACTCATTTCAGATTTCTATATCTCTTTAGATTCAGTCTTTGAGTATTGAAAAAGGCAAAATGACTGATTCAAGTGACTATGTATGTATTATTTTAAATATTTTGGAAGGATTTTCTAAGAGAATATGCTTTATAATATAGTTCGAAGCAGATGTCGATCGATTTGATGATATTTTTCATAAATATGGTGACGATATCGACGAAGATGAAGACAAAAATATTGATTTTGACAATCTTCAACAAAGAATTATTCAAGAAGAAGGTGACTATAACGACAATGATGACGCCGAGGACATAATTCCAGTTGGAGAGATACTTGGCAATGACTCAACTGTAATTTTAGTAGATCTTACAGCGGAAGAGGATGATTTGTCTCAAAAGCTTAGTCAACTTTCAGCTTCCACCGAAGCAAAGATAACGACGCATCAGGAACAATCGAATGAATCAAAAAGTAGAAAGCGTCCTGTGTTAACACCAACAACACCAACAACAATTTCACAAGCGGTACGAACAACCAAAAAGCTCAAAACAAGTGATGATAAAGAACAATCCAATTGTACTTTACCTCAATATCTCTCACCGGCAAATGAAGCTTTTGAAAAAAACATGAATACTCTTCTTAGAAACGTACCTCATTCTTCTATTACTATTGAACATTTACGGTATATTGCACATCTTATGCACAAGATTGAAGTTGCTGAACTTGATAAATCCTTATGGACAGCATTTTTATTATCGGGTACTGGTAAAATGAGAACACAAGAGTCATCTAAATCTTCGAACCAAAAAATGACAGCGACAACGTCAAGCGAGTTTAATCCCACTTCGAAAGTTTTATTCTGGCCTGAACAAGTTAAATCGAAAATGAAAGCTGATGGTTATACAACAGCGACAGATTCAAATGCAGATGATCATAATGCTTGCCTCAAATATGTTGAAGAAGTTTTAAAAAACTATGACAAGCAAATCGTCGATTATCAAGTGCAATTGAAACAAACAAAAGAACGTTTTATGAATATTTTCACAAGTGACATGGAGGAAGTTGTTATAAAATTTGTTCTACGTTATGGTGTTTCTTTATATAAACTAATTATTGAAAACCAAATAGCTGCTGTTGAACATAGTTATAAGGATCATTTAATTAAATCAGAATTTTATAGTGAAGAACCTAATAATTATCAACAACAAGTATTCGAAAATCTTACAACAGCAAGGCGTGATAAAGAAATGGCTAAATTGGAAGTTGCAATATTAAAACAATGTACTATTCATAATCATTTACCAACATCATTTCAATCACTTGATATACCTACATCCATATCATTGAATAGCATTAATGACCCAAGAATTCGACAACGTTTATATGAAAAATGCCAAAAAATTTTACAACAAACAAAATCTGAAATGATGTTAGTTTATATTACTGTAGCTGAAATTAAAATGAATGAAACGAAAGAAAAATTCAATAAAGTTCTGACTGATATGCAAGATACACAACATTCAGGTCCAGATAGTAAACGATTAACTAAAAATATGATATCTATTATGGAAAGACGCTTTAAAAATATAAATGAACGTATTATTCATCTTTATAAAATGAAACTACATTATTTCGACGTAGCTCCGATGGTCAAGAATTAGATTTGGTCTACCATCGGAGCATTCCTACTACATACAAATCAAATATATATTGTTCACCAACTATGATTCAAAATACGGTACATAATCTAACATTAGAACAAATAAAATTTCTTAATCGTGGTCCAACTTATGTACCACCATGTCAACTACATATTTTAACAAAATCATCTTTTACATTAGCACAACTTGTCACAAAACAAATGATACCTCTTCGACGACATCTTACTAAACTATTTACAAAATATTCTGTAGATTTATCGAGACGAATGAATTTTGAAAAAGAAATACAGCTTGCTTTTAATGAATCATTCCTTGCACAAATACCTCCAATGCTAGAATATCGTGCATTATATGAAAAACAAATTATTCAATCGATTCAATATCAATTAAATAAAGATCATCTTATACTTAGACGAACAGCCGATGACAAGAATACATATTATCTTGGACATTTAGATGAATTTCAAGAAAAATCAAATGAATATATTGAAAATTCAAATTCTTTTGAATTTATTGCTATAATTGATGAAAATCATACAGAAGAACAACAATTGAAGGAAGTTATTCAATCCCTTGATGTAGAATTTGATAAACTGTATCAAAGAAAATTAATTAATAAAGATTATCAAATGAAATTTAGTATAAGTAAGAAAACAAATATTAAACTACCCAATGTTTATTTCTTACCAAGAAAAGATCAAGATGATAATCTATTGGTTGAACCACGATTTTCATCTTTTAAAAATACTCCAATTGATGTATTGGCTAATTATCTTGACGAAATTCTACGTCCATTATTTGAAAATTATTCTCGTTCAACTACTTTTCTTAATGGTGGAGATTTTATACAAAAACTTGATTATTACAGTACACAACAAAATCTTCTTAAGCCACAAACTAATTTTGCATCATTTAAAATTCATAATCTGTCTATGAATGTATCACATTCTTCACTACTTCGTACACTAGGTACATTTTTAGATAGTCCATTAGTTGATAATCGATTTTACAAATTATCAAGTGAAGGTATTGAAGAATTGATAGCACTTGTGTTAAAGAATATGTTCTTTACATTTAACAAAAAGCTCTATCGAGTTACAAAAGGATGCCCGTTAAATTTACCAATTACAGATCTATTATGTAATATTTATTTACATGATTGGCAAATGTCTTTAGTTCGGCAAATACGTTTGAAAGATTCATTCTATGGTCGTTATCATAATATAGGCTTTTTCACTTGGAACGCTTCAACTGATTATCTAGAAAGATTATTCGATCAACTTCAACAAACCTTAGATTCTGATATTAAACTAACAACCTTTACTGACACTCGTGTCGAATTTCTTAACGCTGTCATTGAAAATACAAAAGGAATTCTTGAAACACGTGTCTATCATAATCCAAACGAACAACCATTTCTATTACCTTATGCTAAGAATCATCCACGATTACGACATCGACAATGGTTTCGATATGCTCTTATACGTGCTGGTCAATATTGTAGTTCATTTGAAGATTTTGAAGACGAAAGACGGTACATCGAAATGACATTTCTTACAAATGGATATTCATTAGATTTTGTCGAATACCATCTGCGACAGTTCTATTCGAAATTTTTTCGTAGTGAATATCAAATTAAAGATATTAATCGTCATACATATAGAATACTTCGTCGTGAATTATTTCGTCTAGTTGATGAACAAAAACGAGAACTCGTAGAAGTACAACAGTTACAAAAGAATCATCAACTAATTGATTTACATTATTTATTTGACTGGGGTTCTCGATGTCAATTCAATGAAAAATTCTATAAACTTTGGTCTAGTATAATTAATGAAGATCAAAAATTTAAAAAATTTGGCTTAAAAATTAATCTCAATTCCAAGCATTGTTATTCATCCAATATGATTTTAGCTCGAATAAGAAAGGACATATAGTTTATTCCTATAATTTAGTTTCATGTAGTGACTATTCTATTGTTTTTGAAATGATTCATTTAGATGTTTCATAGAAATCATTGTATTAAATAAATTAATCTTAGCTCTTCAGTTATTCTATACATGTTTTACTATACTGTTTTGCTTGTAGCTTTAAAATATATATTTCTCTTTCATTTTCAATTGTAGATATTCATAAATCTCCAGTTTTAATTGGTATTATTATTAAAATGATATGAAATGTGTGCAGTATAATAAATTCTGAAGTATATTACACATTACAAATCAATTATCATGAATAGCTATTATTTAAAAATTATGACTTTATCGCTTATGTAAAAGAAGGAGTCGGGACATAGTAGAATGATTTTAGAGTGAGTATATCTTCGATTTTTGTCTATTCATTTATAGAATTTTTATATAATTCAAGAAAGTAAGCAGGCAAGGAAGCACAGGTAATGGAACTTTATCAACGAATAACCAATATAAAAAAAGATTATTTTATATTTAATTTTTTACTAGTAAAACGATATATATATAACTAAAAAATATACAACACGTAAAATATTAATATTTTCTTTGTTTTCATGTGAAGAAGGGTTATTCAAAGGTCGTCGATATCAAAAGAAAGGAACCATTGTGTTTCTTCTACGCGTACAGGATTGGACAAAAATCGCTCCGCCAATGATTATATTCGTATATATATATTTTTTCTGTTCTCTTCTCGTTACGAAAGACAAAGTTCATATATATATAAGATGGAATGAAGAAAAGAAAAAAATGTATTTCATCACTCTCTTGCATCATCCTATATATACTCTTGCACATACATACTTTCGCTCATTTCATTCGTATGCAACTAAACTGGTAAGTAACTTTCTCTTCCGTGATATCCTTACATTTTCTTCGCACTATATACGTGTACATGGTAGCTGTCTATTGAAAGCATTCAGCGATAAATATTCAGCCATCGATGTATCGGATTAATTTCTTATGTTCTACTCAATGGCAATTGTGTCGTCGATTATTCTACTTACAATCATCATTTTTGTCTGCTTTCTATACATATATATATATTTAAGAGACGTTCTTCGATTTGAGACGAACGTTTCATTATCGCCTCGTATAATGCCGTTTATATTATTATTAGTATACTTCGATATTTTGTGGAAATTATGTATTAAAAAAACGTTCTTCGATTTGAGACGAACGTTTCAATATCGCCTCGTATAATGCCGATTACATAACTACTAATATATTTCGATACTTTCTCGATAGTATATATCCAAAAACGTTCT